TAAATTTCTTTTATTATTATTATTATTATTATTATTATTATTATTAATTTTGTTGTCATAGTAAAATGAATCCCACGGTTGTTATTTATATTTTGTTTTTATTTCTAATATATATTTTTTTTTTTTTTTATTAACTTGGCAACCCGTCGATTATTTAATATAAAATAAAATTTTTCAACACATCAGAAAACTTCCATTTTGTTTTTGTTTTTTTGTTTATATTTTAAATAATTTTTTATAATTAATAATTTATAAATAACAATAAATAAAAATTATTATTATTATTAATATTAATAATTATACGAGTGAGAAAAAACAAAATAATCGATAACGAAATTCACGTCACAAAATTAATAATGATTGAAAAAAAAAAATTATTATTTACATTTAAAACGGAAATAAATTTACCGGAAGTGGAATGATGAAAAATATGAAAAGAAAAACAAAATGCGCGCGTTTTTTATACGTAGGAAACAAACAAAAAAAAAAAACGAACGCCGTGCGAAGAAACAAACGTGCAAACGAAATTTTTTACGATGTCATTAAAATAAAAAAAAAAACACATCATCATCATCATCATCATCATTATTATTTATTTATTTATTTAAAGCGACTTTAATAAAAGAAAAAAAAATACATAAATTTTTATTTTCCCCGTTGAAATTGTTAATTATGTAAGCATATATATATACATATAAATAAATAAATAATAATTTTTTATTTATTACTCTCACATAGAAAAAGAAAAAAAAGGTTTGATAATAAAATCACGGGCTTTGATCCCCGTAAAAAGAGTGAGAGAGAGAGAGAGAGAGAGAGAGAGAGAGAATGATTATGTGTGTGAGGGAAAGAGAGAGAGAGAAGGGATGTTTAAAAAATTCCCGTCCGCTTCGATTTATTTCAAAATAATTCTTATTAACGAACCTTATTTTGACAGGCGTTCGCACGTAAACAACGTACAAAACATTATTATTATTACTTTTTTTTTTTTTATCAATTAAGGTATTTCAGGTACTTTAAATCAACCCCCACGAGAGTTTTAATGCGTGCGTGCGCGCGCGCGCGCGCGTCAAACGTGTTTAAATTTAAAAAGATAAAAAAAAAATTAATAAATTTATTTTTATTTTTTCTGTTTATTTTAATAAATTGTTTTAATAAATAATAATGATGATGATGATGAGTAGGAAAAAAAAATTTAATTGGTTTTGAACCTTTCGTGTTGTTTTCATCGCTTCCTACCCTCCTCCCCCCACAAAACTTTGTCGTTAATGACATAAAAAAAAAAAAAGCTATCATCGATATTGTTTCTCACAATAAATTATTATTATTATTATTATTATTATTATTTATTTTAACGACGACGACGATATAAAAATATATTTATTTATTTATTTTGTGTAAGCAGAAGAAAATTAATTATTAATTACGTTAGGTTTTTTTTCTTTTCCTTTTCGATACACCTTAAATTGTTGTCGCCTGCCCCCCAAAATCATCGTCTGTTTTTTTCCTTTCCCCCCTTTTTTTTTCATCGATTGATATTGATTGGGGATTTTTTTTTGTTTTATCAGAATGGAGAACCTGAATATGAAGTACCCATGTCGGAAGGAGCTCGAGTACCCGCACAACCGATTTCACATTTGCCAAATGCGGAAGCATACGAAGGAAATTACGGAAGGTTGGACGCTGGAGATTTAGAACCTTCTGAGGTTATTATCATTATTATTATTTATAATATTAAAAAAAAATGTCGGAAGTGATGAATTAAAATTATTTTTTTAATTGTTTTGTTAGATGTGGCAAGATATAGAAACAGTTATTCTCGGAGTCGGTGGACCTCTTCACAATACCCAATATCCTGATCATGGCGGAGATCATTCAGACCAAAGATATCGTACGGATTTACCAATTAAATTTGAACCGGAATCAAATTACCAAAGTAACTCAACGGGATACAATTCGGAAGAACCGGAAAAAGATCCATTGGGTGGTTATTACAATGTGCCATCGTCACTACAACCGGAAGATGTAAAAAAAGATAAAGATTATTATTCGCCGACGAGAGTGAAAACGGAAAATATATACAATAATGAAATGTTCCTACATGGTGGCAGGCAGCCGACATCGGGAGGATATACCTATCCTCCGGCGACATCGCATCATCCACTTCACGGATTCTGTTCTCCGTACGCATCATCTCAACCACCATCTTTATATTCGGCAACAAATTCATCAACGTCATTCACGCAAATTTCACCGCCTGCGACGCCGGAAAATTGCACCGGATTTTATCATCATCATCATCACCATCATCACGGAGGGGGTGCCATGAGTTACACGGATTTATATCATTCCCGTCATCATTATCATCATTCTCAAGTGACTCATTTTAAAATATTGACGCCGCCTTCGAGCCCTCACTTAAACGGTCACTTACAACCGTCTTCTGCGTTTCCCGGTACTCACGTGCACACTCATCCGCACATAAGTCTCCCGAGGCCGCCACCGGGTTTAACAGAACAACCCGTACCTGCAAAACCGAGACGTAGAAGAAATTGGAGCAGGAGAAAAGTCATAGTTCATACTTGCACTCATCCCGGCTGTGGTAAAACCTATACCAAATCCTCTCATCTCAAAGCGCATTTGAGAACACACACTGGAGAAAAACCTTATCAGTGCGGATGGAAAGGTTGCAGTTGGAAATTTGCTAGATCCGACGAATTGACCCGACATTATAGAAAACATACCGGCGACAGACCTTTCCAGTGTCGACTATGCGAAAGAGCATTTTCACGATCCGATCACTTATCACTTCACATGAAAAGGCACATGACAATGTGATTGTTTGTTTGTTCATTTGTTTGTTTGTTGTTCAGAAAAAACTGAATACGTAAAAGTGAAAAAAAAATTTTTTATTATTTATGTGATCGAACCCGAAAAAAAAAATTTTTTCTTCTTAATAGTAATAATAATAATAAAAACTGTGTTAACGACGCCATTTTTTTTTTAATATTCTAATTTGAATTTTTTTTATCGTTATCAGTTAACATTCACCTAATTTTTTATCATTATCATTATTTTTCCCATCAATTCGCGTCCATTTTTTTCCGATCCAAAAAAAAAAATTCAAACGGAATTTACGAAATTCGCTTTTTTCATTAATAAATAAATTTATATGTAAATAATAATAATAATAATTGTAACGATAATAATAATAATTAATTGTATAAATATATATTTATATGCTATATTATTTAAAATACAAAAAAAAAAAAATTTTTTTATGTTTTTATTTTTTGGAATTTTTACCGTGATAAAAAAGTGTGAGTGTGAGAGATGATGGTGGTAGTAGTGATGGTGGTGGTTAGTATTAGTAGTATTATTATTATTATTATTATTATTCGTAAAATATAAATTTCTATGAATTTAAAAAAAAAAAAAACGTTAATAATTAGGGCGTTTTCATTATTGTATATATATAAGCGACAAATAACAATGACAAAAACTAAAATTCTATTGAATAAAAAATTCCATTTTATAATAATAATAATAATAATAAAGTTTATTAACCGCAAAAAAAAAAAATGGGGAGGGAGTAACGACAGATTTAACGAGGTCGATATGAGCTCGTTAAAATGGCAATAATAATAATAATAAGACTTTGATTCGATTATTGTCGTCGCCATTTTTCTATTTTTTTATTATTTGTCATCTGAAGAAGAGAGAATAGAAAAAAAATATCGTTAAATTTTCTCTATTCTTTTCTTTTATTTTTTATTTTTATTTCGTTGACACATGTATGGATGTATAAAATTCAATCACGCACTGGAAAAATTTTTTTTTACTCGAGAAAGAAAGAAAAAAAAATTTTTTTCCTGGAGAAAAATTAAAACTTGATAAAAATCATCTTCATCAACATCGTCAACCATTTTATCAAATTTATTTTTTTATTAATAATTAATTAAAAATTTTGTTGGAGATGGATGATAAAAATGCGTGAAATCTATTGCCACGTTTAAAAAATAATAATAATGATAATAATAATAATGATAATGATAATAAATTTTTAATTTTCGTGGTGATTTCGCTTCTTTTTTTTTTTTGTTTTCACCCACGTTTAAATTTTTTTTTTGCAATGAAAACCGGTTACGATCATCATTATTATTATCATCATCATCATCAGGTACAAAATTCTATTTATACGATTTGAACCTTACGTACGAACGAACGTTTTTTTTTATCACAATAAAACGCTTGCGTTATTATTATTATTATATTTTCCGTGAATCGTAAACAAAGAAATGGTAAATAAAAACCGATAATTAAAGTTTAAGATTTTTTTTTTTTTATTGAACACGTGCCATTTTCATTGTTAAGCAGACGAAATGTGATGTCGTCGTATAAGCCACATCATGAATGTAAAAAAAAAAAAAAAAATCGGAGCACGAAACGGCGCTCGAAGGCGTCACAAATCATCATAAAAATCATCATCATCATCGTATTTATATATTTCACAGCTCGCTCTCTCTTCTCTCAAAACGAAAATTATTTTCTTTAAAAAAAAAAAAAAATCCCTTTTGGAAAAAGAATACCAAGAACAAACACAGTCGTAATGATAATAATAATAATAATAATAATAATGATACACGACAAAGTGATCATTGTGCGTGTGCGTGTGTGTGGCGTGTGTGCGAGCTCGTCCTATCAACAATACCATTCATTTTTAATTTTAGGTTTTTATTCTTTTACTGTATATATTATTATTATTATTATTTTCAACCGACAAACGCATAACAAAAAAATCCTCCATTTGTAAAAGTGGAAGAAGAAGAATAAGAAGAAATGTTTTTTCTTTTTACCAACCAAGTTTTCACCGATTTCCGGTTTCTCTTTTTTTTTTAAATATGTCGTGGTTCGTTTGTTTAATTAATTCCACGTTTAAATTATCGATTTATTAAGTAAAATTTTCTTCACACTCGTACCGAACGAAAATAATAATAATAATAATAATAATGATTTTATATTTACGATGGCGTTCGAAAGATTTTTTTTTTTTCTTTTTCACGGAAAATTTTCAAAGGTAATACTTATAACAAATAAATTATACTGATAAGTTTAAAAATTATTATTATTATTATTATTATTATTATTATTATTATTATTATTATTATTATTATTATTATTATTATTATTATTAATTTTTCATCGGTGAAAAAATTATTACGTAATATTTTATTGATATAAAATAAAGAAAGAAACAAACAAACAAACAAACGTGACTGACCACCTTGTTTTTATTTAAATATAATGCGAATCCAAAACATTCGCTCGAAGGTTTTTTCTTTTTTTTTTTTTATGTCCTTTCGTTATTATTATTATTATTATTATTATTATTATTATTTATATTTTTCTATTTTTATTAACGGTGGCACGAAGAAGTAAAGACGTAATTCAAATCTCCCAAACTTTTAATTAATGACAAAAAAATTGGGGGTCGGTCGTCGTCGGTGTAAAACGTGGCAGAAAAAAAAAAAGAAAATATTTACCGAATTTCTTCCTTTTCCCCTCTTCCTCCCTCTCCCCCTCACGATGTCCCCCACACGTGTTTATTTTATTTTAAAAAATAAAATATTGTTATTAATAATATAAAATGAAAGTATAATTACACACCATTGAATGAAAACTCGGAGTCCCCGAGGAGATAAATAATTTTTTTTTATTTATTTTATTTTATTTTATTTAAATTTAATTATTTATGCGACTTTTTAAAAACCTTTCGGCGAAATTTTTTCCCCCCTTTTTCCTCCCCGTTTTCTCAATTCGTGTTTTTTTTTTTTTTGTAAAATCAGTGCGAATCTTCCGATACGTATCATTATTATTATTATTATTTATGCACGATCGAATTTTTCTTTTCGAAGTTATTTACGTTAATCGTTATTCGATTTATTTTGTTTTTTTGAAAATTTTTAACCCTGCATTTATTAATACATGAACGCGTTGAAATTGCATAACTTTAATTCTGCAATTTTGTAATTTTTTTTTTTTTGCATTCGCTTTTGAGAGTTTAATTAAAAATTTTGTAAGTTTTTTTGTTTTTCGTTTGAAAAATATTAAAAAATAAATTACCTAATATTTAAGTAATAAAATCATTTTTAATAATAAAAAAAAAAAAGAGGGAATATTTTTTAACGAAACGGTAAATAATAAATATTTGTGCGCGAACTGTTGTTACAATTAATTAATTTCATCGGTATTTCGTCGAAATCGAAAAGAATTTTCCGTCGAATAAAAAAAACTTATTGTAATAAAAAAAAAAATGAAAGGAGAAGAAACAACGAACAACAATCGAAAATCAAAAAAGAAAAAAAAAATTTATAAATAAATAAACCCGAAGGTGAATGAATGCGAATAAAAACTAACAAATGTTATTTACGATACAATAATAA